CACAACTACTATCTCCAGTTCAACATAATGTGAATATCCTCATTGTCAAACATTTTGAAGCGTATACTAGTCTCTTCCTTTTAAGGGATAATCAATTCCATTTCTAACAAGAAACTATCTTCCCAAACAATGTTGCTCTGGCTTACTGCTTCAAGAGCCACAGTTAGTGGGGACCAGAACCTGAAATTGCCTCTGCCAGAGCCTTTCAGGTCTGTTCCCTTTGTGGGTCTGCTGCTTTGATTGTCAGTACCTCCTTGGGGCCTCTGGGGTTTATAGGGGCCTACTACAGCAGACCTGCTTACTAGAGCCATCCTTAGATTCACTGAGGTCTCCCAGGACCCTCCTTGATATAGGCTGCTTCCAGGATCCTCCTGGGGTATGCTGAGGTCTGCGGGAGTATACTACCAGTGGGGCTGCTCCTATGACTTCTCCCACGGCTCACTGAGTTTGGCATCAAAACTATTTTTTTAAGATTTATTTATTTGTGCAAGAACTGGGGTACAGGCCAGAGGCATGGGAAGGTGAGAGAATTCCCAGACAGAGCAGGGAGCAGAACAGGCAGACTGACCTAAGTACACTGCTGAGGGGAGCAGCAGTTGAGGCAGGAGAGGTCTGCTGCACCATGTGGGTTTCTCCGTTGCCAGCCAGGAATTGAACCAGCACTGCAGAGGCTACGGACAGCTTCACAGCATGGCACTCAACCACTGCGCCACCCGGGAGGTCCATCAAAACTGTTTTTAATAAATAATTTTTCCAACATGTTATTAGACTTATATCCTCTGTGACAATAAGAACAATAAATTCCACTTCAGTCTTGCTTTGTAATGACATGTTTAATTTGAAGATTCTGAGAAAAAGTAATATCTACTGAAAATAGGCATAGTGGACATCAAAGTATTTTACTATGTACTCTAGTTTAGACAGCACTTACAAGCCTTTAAAACAATTTGCCACCATTCAGGAATTATGATATAATGTTTGCTCGTTTTCACTTATGATAGTTTATATTCTTTCTTTTAAATGAGTACTGCAAAAAGTCCTACACCACTTTATGCTACACAGTATGATTAAAGACAAATTGGGATATCATAAAAGAAGTGGTAAATTTCAATGATCTACACATCTGAGATTTTTTATTTTGGCATTATGATGATACAATCAATTTTAATTGATAGAAAGTATTATAGCTTTATAAATTATTTAACTAAGACTATGCCATGGCTTGTATTTCTTGATCCAACATTATATTCTGAGTGTTTTTCATTCTACTATGGTCAACTTAATGAGAATAATTACTATCTTGCCTCTTTTGTGTAATAAAAATATTTTTTTCCTATATGCTAAGATTTGTATCTTAGATATATTAGGAGTGTCCTTTCTGCATATCTTCCTCTTTTGACTATTAGAAAATGGATACTGGGGACCTCCCTGGTGGCGCAAGGGGTTAAGCACTGCACTATGAAGCTGTCTGCAGCCTCTGCAGCACCAGTTAGATCCCCGGCCCACCAGGGAGCAACCCACATGGCACATCAGACCTCTCCTGTCTCGCCTGCTGCTCCCCTCAGCAGTGTACTTCAGTCAATCTGCCTGTTCTGTTCCCCAATCTGACTCTGGTGAGTCATCTCACCCCTCACATCTCTGGCCTGTACCCCAGCTCTTGTAAGCATAAATAAACAAATCTTAAAAAAAAAAAAAAAGAAAATGGAAACTGGAATTTTGTTCAACATTTTGTTTTCAACTTGACATTTTTGATTCTTCCTTATTATTTGAAAGTTACAATTCAGTGAAGTTCTTGTTTTTTTTTAAGATTTATTTATTTATGCATACAAGAACTGGGGTATAGGCCAGAGGTGTGTGTCGGGGGGAGGATCCACCACAGACAGAGTGGGGAATAGAACAGGCAGATTGACTGAAACACACTGCTGAGGGGAGCAGCGGGTGAGACAGGAGAGGTCTGCTGTGCCATGTGGGTAGCTCCCTGGCCAGGAATCAAAGTCCTGCTGCAGTGGCTGCAGATTGCTTTCTAGTTTGTGTCTTAGACCCCTTGCACCACCAGGGAGGCCAAGTTCTTGTTTATAACTAAAAAAAAAAAAAACTGCCAGCTTCAAAATACAGAAAATTGTCTATAAGATTTTAGCAGTCAACATGACAGAGTTACATTTTTATGTCTCAAATTTATTTCCTTTTCAAATAATAAGTTATTTCTAAAAAGCAAATTTTCAGTAATGACTTTTTTTTAAGTCAACATATTTGCTCATTTGCCTGAGAATAGATTAAGATCATGGATGCTTTGTGAAAACACCCATGCATGAAGGAGATTAAATAATTTCGTTTCAGTTCATTTTAAGATCAATTGTGTTTTTTTTAATATGAGAATGTACAAAGAAATGTTTTGTTTTGTTTTAAAAAATATTGATTGATTGATTGATGCATGGAAGAACTGGGGTGTAGGTCAGAAATGCAGGGGTTGAGAGAATTCATCAGAGACAGAGTGGGGAATAGAACAGGCAGATCTATTGAAATACACTGCTGAGGAGAGCAGTGGGTGAGACAGGAGGGGTCTGTGCCATGTGGATTAGCTCCTTGGTGGGGGATCGAACTCATGCCCTGTGGCTGGCAATAGCTTGATACCGCTGAAACTTTAACTTCTATGCCACCAGGGAGGCCCCAAAGAAATGTTGAAATAATTTATCTGACCTTTAATCGGTCATTAGTCTTACAACTGAGAGGAGAAAACATGCATTGTATAAAAAGGAAGAATGTTGTGTGTGTGTGTGTGTATATATATATATATATATATATATATATATATATATATATATATATATAAAGTAAAACTCAAAAACAAACAAGCACAAAAATTGCTCATTAGTCCTACCAAATTGCAAAAATTTATTAGTGCTAAACTTAGAGGTGTGCTACTATAATCTGAAAGACAACTATATATAAGCAAGTGTTTGCCCAGAAATAAGTTCAATAGATTAAACAATTGATTAGTTACTAGAAAAATATTTCTAAATTCTAACCTTTGGTGCCTAAGTGACCATGTATTGGGCACAGATACAGAATATCAAGTTTTTTCGAGGTTTATTTTTGATGCTTTTCTGAAGTCAGATTTGACATATTTAATTGTCTTAACTTGACTACAGTTAAAATTATACTTTTGATTAGGAATGAATTGTATATGCGAGTGCTTTTTCACTGTTTTGTTGCAATATTTGGCATGTTTATTAATGTAGGAAAAATATCATCATCAAAGGGAGGAAAACTCAAAGTAAAAAGTAAGAAGGTAAAATATATCACCAAATAAGATCTGAAGATAAATTAAGAATTTGAGGCAATAGATGATGAAAGGTCAGAAGGACGGGGCATCTTAAAAAAACTATGTAGGAAAAATGGGGTTTGCACAGTGTGGATGGTACAAGAGACAAAGTAGAAATAACTGCAAAGGAATGATAATAATTGAAAAGAAATCATAAAATGATAGTCTAAGGAATTCATTTTCCAATCATGTGATATAGTTTTGCTTCTAGCTAAGTGAGAACAGTGAATTCTGAGACCTGTGTGTTTGCAGACCCTATTGGTATCTGAGAAGAATTTTTAAAAATCTTGAGATTAAATAAAATATATACAAAATAAAGTTTTAGTTAGCTAATTTCTTCAAAGATCAATTTATCCCCTATAGTCATGCTATTTAATTCAAAGGACAAAGGAAATTTTACTATAAGAAAAGGAAAAACTGTTATCTAGAATTTTATGAGTAGCACTGCTGTGACATTTTACAGGAGAAAGAAAGTTTTGTGTCCAGATGACCTTCATTTAGATATTTTATGGTGACCCCTCACCTCAATTGATTGATTGCATTTCCTATCCTTCCTTTTTTCTTGTCTGCATTTCCTTACAGTGGTACCCTTTGCAAGGTTAATTGAGACACTGACATTTTACATCTGTGACTGCTCATGTAGTCATGGAGCAAAGGGATTTTGTAAACTTAGCACTGACAGACCACCAAACTTAACAGCTCAGCAAATAGAGGGGGCTGATTGAACCAAATGCTATAGCCAAAAATGCTGGCTGTACAAATCCCTGGTGTCTAGCCTAAAGAAAGCAATGGATAAAGAGTCTGCTGCTGCTTCTTACACAATTATGTTAGAAACAATCAATTCAAAACCAGGGCAAATAGATTATTCTTTGGTTTATGTTGTCATCCTCTGGGGCATTTTTATTTTCCCTAGGTTTCATTCAGGACTGTATAATTTTAGAATAAAAATTGCTAAAGGAGACTTCAAAATAATTATTTAGAAACTGTTTATCTAATGTGACATCCCAGGGTAATGGTGTCACTAATTATAATTAAAAACTCTGGTACCCACTCATTCCAGTCAAAGCATCATCAAAAAGTTCAAACAACTGTTATGAGATATACTGTAATTTAAAACATAATATTTAATATGATTGTCTGCTCTCTTAAATTGTAGTTAACACTTTTTGTTTCCACTTGTGTGAGCTCTATTTTCGTGGGAAAGCTCTTTCATCTGGAGTTCTAGAAGAACAAACAATATGGAGCATGACTGCCTCTTTTTTGTGGCTCCCAAAAATTCACTAGATTAAACTTTTTTTGGCCCTTCTTTCTAAAGCTAGGTGGAGTGTATTGTTTCTTTGCTTGTTTTTTCTTTCCCAAATTTTCTGTTTATTCAGTCAGATTGCTGCTTAAACTGGAAAAAATAGAGATCCCCTTTCTTGTGTTTCTAAATGTATTTGGAAATTATTTCCATATCTTTAAAATAAAGGGTAGGATAAAAGAAGCATTCAAGAAGTACAAGCCCAAATGTGGGCCTCATTCTTTTTTCATTACCTTATTTCCAGTTTTTGTACCATGTGTTCTGAAAAATAGAAAATTATTAGAAAACAATTAATTTAGAAGTAAAGTTTATCAGTGCTTCTATAGCATGGTTAAACTCCTATATATTAAATAACAGAAATATCTTTTTCCCTTACAGACTTTGATGAATGTGAGAGTGGAGAAGCTTGCTGTGCCCAGCTCTGTATCAATTATTCAGGAGGCTATGAATGCGGTTGTCAGGAAGGCTTTCTGATCAGTTCTGATGGTTGCGGATGTGATGGTAAATTCCGGAGGCCCAACATTATATCATTGACACAATGGGGCATTAGTGGAGGAGGGACACCTGAAACAGAGGGTTAGGTTGGGAAAGGGAAGGCTTTGACACGGAAAGACTTGGATGTCTATGTAGTTTTACCTTTTACATCTATGAACTTGATCAACTCTAACTGCTCTGGGCCTCAGATCTTCATCAGTAAAGTGAAGACAATAAGATTAGTGGGCTAAAAAAAGGAAAGTAATTAGTGTAAACTATAAGGCACAGTGGTTGACACAAGGCAATCACTCAAATAGAGTACTTATTATTGTTACTACTACTACTGCTACTACTATGATATTCATTGGTCTGTAATTCCTTTTATCTAATTAAATATGTTTAGGTAAGTGAGAGTTTCTGGTGTTCTTTAGTACATTGCCATAGGAATCACTGATGGTAAACTTGATTGGAATTAGAAAGTTGGTTTCTCAAAGTCATTTTAATTAGAGAGCAGTGGCAAAAGGATTGTGAGTTCATAAGCCATAGTCTAAATCTCTCAATATCTTTTATATATCTGATATCAATATTGTTAATGCAAGTTTTTTTTTTTTTTTAAGATTTATTTATTTATATATACAAGCACTGGGCACAGTCAGAAGCACGGGAGGGTGAGAGGATTCACCAGAGCCAGAGCGGGGAACAGAACAGGCAGCCTGATGAAATACACTGCTGAGGGGAGCAGCAGCCATGGCAGGAGAGGTCTGTCACACCATGTGGGACCCTTGCCGGTGGCCAGGGATCGAACCGATGCTGCAGAGGCTGTGGGGCAGCTTCGCAGCCCAGCACTCAACCGCTGCACCACCAAGGGAGACCCTGTTAATGCAAGTTTTAAGATGAATTATAATACACTAACATTTGTTAAAATTGGTTCATTTATCTTTCAGATGATTTCTAGGTTATATATTTTTAAAAACATATCATAGGAGAGTTTGAACTTAGTAAATAAAGTTAATTCACATTTTTATATTAATAAGAAAAGCTCATATAGGTCATTGCTGTAATTCACTTTTAAAAATTTACCTTAAATATTTAAACTTCAATTTTCATCTTGTGATCATCACTATCCACTATTTTATCTATTTTTTTTCTTAAAATCAAATTAAAAGCTAAAATACTATTACCTCTTTTGGTGAGAGTTAAATTTTTAATGCCACAGAGGAAATAATGTTTCTTTGCTTAAAGAAACAAATTCCAGGCCTCTCAGGTGGCGCAGCAGGTCGAGGGCAGTGCTGTGAAGCAATCTGCAGCCTCTGTAGCACAGGTTCAATCCCCAGCCAGCCAGGGAGATACACACATGGTGCAGCAGACCTCTCCTGTCTTACCGGCTGCTCCCCTCAGCAGTGTATTTCAGTCAGTCTGCCTATTCTGTTTCCCACTCTGTATCTGGTGAACCCTCTCACCCTCCTGCATCTCTGGCCTATAGCCCAGCTCTTGTATAAATAAAGAAATCTTTGAAAAAAAAAAAAGAAAGAAAGAGGGCCTCCCCTGGTGGCGCAGGCCGTTGAGCACAGTACTGTGAAGATGTCCGCAGCCTCTGAAACACAGGTTTGATACTAGCAGGCCAGCACATCTGGCCTATTCCCTGGTTCTTGTATAAATAAATAAATAAAAATCTTAAAAAAAAAAAAAAAAAAAAGAAAGAAAGAAAGAAATTCCAGAATTCTATTGAGGATGACAGGTCATTTCTTCGTATAGCCAAACTTTTCAGCTTGCAGTGTAGATAACAAAACAAAACAAAATAAAAACACAATCATGATATCTGTATATTCTAAATACAATAGAGTATATTACATTTACCACATTCCAATGAACAGGACAAGAAAAAGAATTCTATGTGCCATCTACTCTTAAGCAGATTGAACCAAGTGTTACTGCATGACATAAATTTATGTCATGGAATATCCAAGTGGAAACTGCATCCACAATCTGATGCAAAACTTAGAAGCTCAACATTATAAATGAATTCTTAGTTTTACAAACACATTGACCAAAGCCTGGACTTAGATGTGGATACTGGTAAGTCACATGAGATTAAGGCCTAGGGTTCTTCCATCTCTAAAATCCCCCATAATCCTTGCACAAAATTATATAGGGAATAATTGCTTAGTGTAGATATTTAATAATTCAAGAGTAAATGAACCTTCCACAAAATGGTTATAGAGCTTGAGATTATTGCATTAAGTTTTAAAATCTTCATTGAAATCATAGGAACAAGACCTCAGAAAATCTTGCTTCCAAATTAGATAGAATTTGGAAATGAGTAAAAGAAAAATAATTTACAACTTGAGAAAGTTTTCAGGGATCATGCTTTCTATATGGAAACACATTATTACTGATTATTAAAGGTGTCAAATATGTCCATGAGTTCATAAGGTCTACTATCTCAATGCCTAAAAGTGTCTAATGTCGGAGATTTAATTGTTCCTAGATGTGGATGAGTGCCTGGCTGTCAGTAGAGTCTGTGACCAGCTATGTATAAACTCTGTGGGAACATATGACTGTACTTGTGAAGAAGGCTACAGAATTGGAAGTGATGGAAAAACTTGCATCTGTAAGTCACTGTGAAGAATTTTATTGTATCTCTTCCAAACTACGTCAACCCTCATCTTGTTCTTCAGGAGCAATGGAGAACACACACTCCTTAACTCAGCCTGTCCTTCCCTTTCTTCATAGCCCGAGATCTGTCTTTTCCCTTTGTTCTCTCTGCTGCTGCTTCAACTTTGTGTTCGCTGCGTCTCACCTTCATTTACAATAGACTTTTTGAAATGATCTTCTCAAAGAGTTTTGCCTTTCAGTTGCCCCCTGCCTTGGCTGTCTAGTTCAACTCTCTCATCAATCCTTGCTCAGTTTTTCCTTCTTCAACCCAGCATGGTGAATCCAGGCATTTTCCGGTCTTAGCTTTAGATGATGATGAACTAGAGGAAGAAATAGAGCAATTAGAAGTTGTGAGGTTTCCAGGTCTCCTATTCAAGAGCCCACCTCAACTGCTTAATTACGGTGCTGCCGCTCTGTCCCCCACTTATGAAAATGAAGATGAGGAAGAAGATATAAAAGATATTCAAGTAGAACTGACTGCATTGCACACATTTGGTGAGTAAAATAATTTGTTTCATTTTATACTTCTTTTCATTATTTTAAATTAATTCACATAAATTATTTTATCGATAATTTCATTATCAATATCTAATGTCATCAAATATTTTAACATGATGTTAGCAACAGAAGTAGGAACAAAGCTACTTCTTAGAGTTTTTACTGTGGCTAAGTATGTTTTAAGTATAATGGCATGAAAATTCAGGGCACTTTAGTTTTCCTAGTTATTAAAAACTCACTAGAAAAAGCTATTGTATAGTTAATATTTACCTTAAATGTCTTAAAATTTTGATTCTGTCTAGATTTAAAATGCAAAAAACCTATTATCCAATATTCTTAAATGGACTAAGGAAATATCTTTAAAAACATAAGAAATTTTTAAGAGACCAGGAAAAAGACTAATTATAATAAAGTAAAAATCAAAATCAACAAGCAACTATAAACGAGAGACAGATGGGGGGAGGAGAGGAGGGAGTAGGGTCAAAATAAGGGGGGTGGGAATTGTATGGGGAATATAACCAAGATAAAAATGCATACATTGTGCAAAAATGAAAAATGAGTAAAAATATATAAATTTAAAAAATTTAAAAGAATGAGAAGTTTTTTTCTTATATGTCCATTTAACAGAACTCAAGCATCAAATCACTTCTGATCACAATAAATTGGCATAACCTCATTTGAAATAACAATGTGAGGCCAGCCTTCCATTTTTCTTTGTAAAACAGAGTTGTTTTTTTAATTTTCTTTCTATTTATTTTGTTTTTAGAATTTATGATGCATTCTAAATTATGATGATTGCTGTAGAATTCATTGGGTAAAATGGCAAAAAATATTTTTTAATCTATGGTCAAGCATCATCATAATATCAATAAACACCTCTCCATAAGAATAGAAATTCTTTCATTTTTTAAAAAATTAAACTTCTGATACTATGACTACTTAAAGTTAGAATAGAAATAGTGCAGGTTTACCAAGGCTGTCAGAACTTGAATAGATTACATCTGGAGACAAAGGAAGCTCAGACAAGTGAGAGAGACCATCTCAGTTTCTCTTCTGCTTATACAATTTGCAAACATGTGGCTGTGTAGGCAGAGAAAGCAGAAGATGTAAGAGAAAACTGCTGAGAGTATGAAGGTAAGCACAGTTTTCAGCAAATGGTTATGGGGAGTTAGAAACAGTTTATGGGAAGTTGGAACTTGGCTCTTAGGAACTTTCAAAGGAGAGAGGTCTTGATACACATGACAGATTTCAGTTGGGACATCTGAAAGATGCCATCCAGAAACAGCCTGCAACTTTAAATTAAACAATCTTTAAAATAACTAAAATCAGGGCCTCCCAGGTGGTGCAGGGGTTAAAGTTTCAGTGCTATCAAGCTATGGCCAGCCACTTTAGCACGAGTTTCACCCTTAGGTGGCCAGGGAGCAACCCACAAGATACAGCAGACCTCTCCTATCTAACCCACTGCTCCCCTCAGCTGTATTTCAGTCTGCCTGTTCTGCTCCCCACTCTCTCTGGTGAATCCTCTCACCCCCTGCACCTCTGCCCTGTACTCCAGTTCGTGTATGCATAAATAAATAAATCTTTTAAAAAAAATAACTAAAACCACTTCTTACCATCCATTCTTACTTAGATTAATAATAGAATGGAGGGCCTCCCCGGTGGCGCAGCGATTGAGCGCTGGGCTGCGAAGCTGCCCGCAGCCTCTGCAGCGCCAGTTTGATCCCTGGCTGCCAGCAAGGGGTCCACATGACGCGCAGACCTCTCCTGCCATGCCCACTGCTCCCCTCAGCAGTGTACTTCGGTTCTTCTGCCTGTTCTGCTTCCCGCTCTGGCTCTGGTGAATTCTCTCACCTTCCTGCAATTCTGACTGTACCCAGTGCTTGTATAAATAAACAAACAAACAAACAAATAAACAAATACAGAAACAAACAAATAAATAAATCTTTAACAAAAAAGAATAGAATGGAAAACATATTATTGTAAATTTAGACATTCAGAACAACTGCAGAAAACAAACTAATATTTGTTTAGTACTAGTACTCACTACGTGGGTGAGTTTCACAAACATTGAATCAAAGAAACTTAATACCAAAGAGTCCATATTTTAGGATTCCATGATGTAAAATTCAAAATTATGCATAAAATATCTCTGGGGATAGAAATTGGGATAGAAGTGCTTAATTTGTGAAATTAACAACTAAGATTCACCACGTCATTTTTGAGGTTTGAGGGTGCTGGTAATATTCTGTTTCTTTATCCAGGTGGAATTTACATGGTGTTCTTTCTAGTGTGTGAAATGTATGAAATGTACACTTGAGATATGTTCACTTTTCTTCATATATATTAAATTGCAATAAAAATAATGAAGGGCGGGTGGATAGGATGGGAGGGATTAAAACTTTGCTTTAAAAAAGCTGGAAGGAAAAGTATCACAGGCCAGAAACATGGATTAGTTTTGAGTTCCGTAACCAATAACATTTCTTTTCCTTTTTTAGTTTCTTAAATATTCTAAATATACTTTAAACAATATAGTTATGCCCTGTTTTTTAAAAGGTACCTCTTGACTATTGTCTTTGTTGGACTCATTAGGGAACTCGCTTAAGGAACATTGCTTTTTGAGAAATTCAGATTGTCTTTTCCATTTTCAGTGATGTAGACAGTATGGTCAACTAAGAGGGCTTCCCATTTCAGTCTGTTTAGATCACACCTTCGGACATGACTGCAGTTTAAGCTGTGAGGACTGCATGAATGGAGGAAAGTGCCAGGAAGGAAAAAGTGGGTGCATCTGCCCAGCTGGCTGGGGTGGAATTCTTTGCAATGAAAGTAAGTAATATTCTGAAGAACTAGTAAGAGTATAAGTTCTTCTTTTGTCTGTTAATTTGTGTTATTTCTTCCCATTGCAAGAGATTCAAAAGAAAATTTGTTCATTTATCTTCCAAGCCAACCACAAAGATTAAAAAACAAAAATTATTTAAAAAAATTACAAGACAGGGCCTCCCTGGTGGCGCAAGGGGTTAAGATGCAACACTTTGAAGCCATCCACAGCTGCTGCAGCCCAAATTGGATCCTCGGCCAGGGAGCTACCCACATGGCACAGCAGACCTCTCCAGTCTCACCCGCTGCTCCCCTCAGCAGTGTATTTCAATACCTCTGCCTTTTCTGTTCCCCACTCTATCTCTGGCTGGGTGGAATTCTTTGCAATCAAAGTAACTCTTAAGAACTGGTAAGAGTATAAGTTCTTCTTTTGTCTGTAAATTTCTGGTGATGAATTTTCCTTCTGGTATGTTCTCCCCAAAATGTTTTAATAAGATAAGCAATTTAGGTGGTGAGAAACTAATTTATTTGTTTTGCATAAAGAGTGGTTATGAAGAGCTGAGGTTTTAAACTAAACATGTGATTAGAAGGGAAGATTTTATGTTCCCTAGGAAACTTGATGTCTCTTGTTTATCCATGGAATGTAAAAGTTAATTAAAGGATGTTAATATTCTAGGCCTATAAAAATCCCTCCATTTGAACAAATTATTAAGCTCTAGCAAGCTATTCCAAGTGAAGAATAAAGGAAAGGTTTTTGCTACAAAATGCAATTAATGGAATTGGTTTACCCTTTGCAGCTTCTTTTTTGATTGGGTGTTTTTATTTTAAAAATAATTTTAGTACAGTCAGTGCCACTTTTTGCTTTTTATGTCTCTCATGAGAAAACATCAATGATTTAAATAATGGTACCTCTAATAAACCTTTTCCTTTTATTCTAAATGAAGTTGCAATTATAGGTATTGAAGTTGAATAATAAAAACAAAATATATCATCTATGTTGATTTTTTAAATTTATCTTATAATTTTTTAAATTTTTCTTTATTTATGCATACAAGAACTGTGGTACAGGCCAGAGGTGTGGGGGTGGTGAGAGGATTCACCAGAGACAGAGTGGGGAACAGAAGAGGAGGATTGACTGAAATACACTGCCAAGGGGAGTAGCAGGTGAATCGGGAGAGGTCTGCTGCGCCATGTGTGTAGCTCCCTGGTTGGGGATTGAACTTGTGCTGCAGTGACTGCAGATAGCCTCATAGGTTGTGTCTTAACCCCTTGGCCACAAGGGAGGCCCTTGTAATTTTTTTAAAGATTTTTTTATTTATGCATACAAGAGCTGGGGTACAGGCCAGAGATGCGGTGGGTGAGAGGATTCACCACAAACAGAGTGGGGAGCAGAACAGGCAGTTGTACTGAAATATGAAATACACTGCTGAGGGAAGTAGGGTAAGACAGGAGAGGTCTGCTGCAACATGTGGGTCACTTCCCTGGCTGGAATCAAACTCGTACAGTGCCTGCAGATAACTTCATAGAGCTGCGTCTTAACCCTTTAAACCCCCAGGGAGGCCCTAGCTTATAATTTTTAAATAAAAGTCTTTTTTTTTTTATCATTGTGATTGACTTGGAAGTTAAATGAACAAATTTTCTTTTGAATCCCTTGCTTATGGGAAGAAATGACAAAAATATTGTGTCTATTCTGAGGTAGATATGAAACAAGTCAGAATAGTGGAATGGTTTCACTAACACATAACTCAGTAAGTTAGTTTTGAGAATCTCCCTCAAACATTTTTCTTATGAAGTGTTTCTGTTGTTCAAAAATCTTTATCAGTGTCCCATTTCCTAACCATAAAAAAGTAGACTTCTTACTGAAAACAGGTGACCCTCATAAATTGTTTTATTTTTATGCTAATAACAACTTTGTCCAGCTTGTCATTTCCAGCAAACTAAACAAGTCACTACTTAATGCTTTGCATTATCATCAACTCTGTGCTTTTTTGAAAACTTGTCATATTTGTTCATTGGTGTTTATTGCAACAAAGCTTCATTTGATAACCACAGTTTAAATAGTACTATTTATATTTTTTGTGAATTAAAATCACACACACAGGGGCCTCCCTGGTGGTGCAGGAAGTTGAGCACTACACTGTGAAGCTGTCCACAGCCTCTGCAGTGTGGGTTCCATCCTGGCCGCAGGTGAGAATCCCACATGGTGAAGCGGACCTCTCTTGTCTTGCCCACTGCTCCCCTCAGCAGTGTATTTCATCGATCTGCCTGTTCTGTTCCCCGCTCTGTCTCTGGTGAATCCTCTCACCCTCCCATGCATGTGGCCTATACCCCAGTTCTTGTATAAATAAATAAATAAATCTTTAAAAAAAATCACACACACACACATACACACACACATTGCATTGGATTAGAGTTAGCTATGCTCCTATTTTGTCTCCTATACTAGGCTGAGAGCTCATTGTCAGGTCCTATTTATATTTCTCCAAATATGAGGCATGCAGTCCACTGAATAAGCAAATGTGTTGGTGCTGAGACGCTTAGGTATATTGACCTGCAACTTGACATATGCAACTACATAAAATCAGGATTAAATAAAATTTATTACATGATACAAGGGAGTAAATACTCACTTTGCTTTTGTGTTTTGCTGGTAAATATGCATCCTCTTAACCCTTGATACCATTCATGGCAACATGAGAAATGAAGCTAAAAACATAGCTCAAATACATTGAAATTTAACATCTGTAGTAAAAAAAATTAATACCAAATATTGAAAATAAAGTTGTTGATAAAATGAAGATGGGCCTTCTTGGTGACACAAGGGTTAAGCACAGTGCTGTGAGGCTGTCCGCAGCCTCTGTGGCATGGGTGCGCTCCCAGGCCTGCCAGGGAGCTACCCACATGGTGCAGCAGACCTTTCCTGTCTCACCTGCTGCTCCCTTCAGTAGTGTATTTCAGTTAGTCTGCTTGTTCTGTTCCCCACTCTGTCTCTGGTGGGTCCTCTCACCCCCTCACCTCTGGCCTGTAACCCAGTTCTTGTATGCATAAATAAATAATTGTTAAAAATAAACAAACAAATAAATAAATAAATAAATAAATAAATAAATAAATGAAATGAAGATGATGTAACCCTCTTTTTGGCTTTGGAGACCTTGAATATTTCTTCATTGTTCACATGTCTCTGTAAAGGGGAATCTGTCTCTGAAAGTAGAAGACTATATTGTGTTTGCACTTCTCTATTTCATTATTTACAGAGAAATGAAAATAAAACAAGGCATTTAGGAAAAACAAACAAAAATATTCACTAATTCTTTAATGTAAAGAATGAAAGAAAACATCTTCAAATAACTATAAATTGCCGTAAATTAAAGTCATCATCATCCATGTTTTTTGAATTAAGGTCACATTGATTTACTACACTGTATATGGTTTAGAGACATAGATCACCCCTTTCAGTGTGTATCACTAAACCATACCCACCACCAAGTCACCCATAATTTTCTACCATAGTCCATTGTGTCCCCTCCCTATTTTGCTCTTGCCTCACCCTGTTCCCCTTTGGCAACCTCAATTCTAAACTCAGATTTCTAAGGTTTGTCATTGGTTTTGTTTTATCTAAGCCTTTTTTATTTTGTTTTGTTTTGTCTTTCTACACTCAACATCTAAGTGGCAAAATCCAGTATTTGTCTCTCTCCAGACTTATTTCATTTAGCATAATTCCCTCCAGTCCTATCCATGTTGTTACAAATGGCAAGCACTCATCATTTCTATGTAGTTGAGTAGTATTCAGTTGTGTATATATACCACATGTTCCTAATGCACTCATCTGTCTTTGGGCATTTAGGTTATTTCCACAGATTGCTTATTGTAAATAGTGCTGCAACAAACATAGTGAATTAATGTTTTTGTGTTTGTGGATTTGTTGGATCACAAGGTAGATCTACTTTTAACATATGGAGAAATCTCAACACTGTTTTTCACCGGGGCTAAATAAGTCTACATTCTCACCAGGAGTGAACAGGGTTTCTTTTTCTCCATATCCTCTTTAACAATTGTTTGTTAAGGTATGAGGAGGTAACTCATTGTGGTTTTGATTTGCATTTCCTTGATGATAAATGATGATAAGCATATTTTCATGTGCCTGTTGGTCATCTGCAAGTTTTTAGAGAAGTGCTGTTTTAGCTTTTCTGCCCATTTTTTAATTAGATTTTTTGTTTCTTATTAAATTGTATGAGTTCTTTGAATATCAGCCCCTTCTCAAATGTGTGGTGTGCAATACATATTCCCATTAAGTATGGTGTCTTCTTGTTTTAATGATAGTTTCTTCTACTATGCAGATGGCTTTTAATTTGATATAGCCCCATTTTTTTTATATTATCTTTTGATTCTCTTGCTGTTAGAGACAAATCCACAAAGACATTGCTGAAGTCTATGTCATGGTGTTTTACCTACGTTTTATTCTATGAGTTTTAAATTTTTATTTTTTTCAAAGATTTATGTATTTATACATACAAGGACTGTGGTACAGGCCAGAGGTGTGGGGGATGAAAGGATTCACCAGAGACAGAGTAGGGAACAGAACAGGCAGACTGACTGAAATACACTGCTAAGGGAAACAGTGGGTTAGACAAGAGAGGTCTGCTGTGCCATGTGTGTTTTTCCCTGGAGGGCTGGGGATCAAAGTCGTGCTGCAGTGGCTGTGGATAGCTTCAGAGTGCTGTGACTTAACCCCTTGTGCCAAAGAAGGGAGGCCCCCTTCTTCTACGTGTTTTATAATTTCATGTCTTACCTCCAAGTTTTTTTTTAATTAATTTATTTATTTATACAAGAACGGGGGTACAGGCCAGATGTGCGGGAGGGTGAGAAGATTCACCAGAGACAGAGTGGGCACCAGAACAGGCAGACTGACAAAATACACTGCTGAGGGGAGCAGCGGGCAAGACAGGAGAGGTCTGTTGCACCATGTAGGACCCTCGTCAGCCAACAGGGATCGAACTGGCACTGCAAAGGCTGCGGACAGCTTCACAGTGTGGCACGCAACCGCCTATGCCACCAGGTTAGGCCCACCTCCAAGTTTTTAAGACAGATTAATCTATATTATCTATCTGTCAAGTGAGATAGAGATCTAGTTTCATCCTTAACTATAGAGCTGTCCAGTTCTCCCAACTCCATTTATTGAAGGGACTTTTCATTCTCCAATATATACTCTTGGCAGCACTGTTATAAATCAACTAACTGTCCACATAAGTGTGGATTTATTTCTGGACTTTCATTTCTATTCCATTGGTTTGTGTGTTTGTTTTTGTTCCAGTGTCATGCTGGTTCTGATTATTATAGCTTTATAGTTTAGGTTAAAACTTAGTTTTACCACTGTTCTTTCCCTTTTTGTCAGGATTACTTTGGCTATATTCAGTCTTTTGTGCTTCTATATGAATTTCAGTAATGTGTGTTCTATAGCTTTGAAGAATGCCATTGAAGCTTTGATAAGGATTACATTGAATCTATATATTTCTTTGGTTTAGATGCCCATCATTCCCTATATACTCTACAAATGAAGAAAGGAAAATTTTAAAAAGAATACTTAGCAGAGATCTGAAAATTAATTTTCCCTAAGTTGTATTTTTTAGCTCAATATCTTTATGTATAACAAATACTGATATATCTAAATTTACATTTTAAGAAATTCTCTGAGTAATTTTAAAGTCATCCCTTATTATTAACTTTAATATCACATTTTAGAACTCCATTTCTTTTGAAGAAATGTCACATTGGCTATCTCATTTGCTACTGTGACACTATCCAGCAGAAAGGGAAGATAAGAATATTTTTGTTGGCAAAACAAATGTATGGACTATGCATGGAAGGGATGGTTCACAATTCTTCCCAAATCAACCAGTTATGATATGGTTTGGGGCATATTCGTTTTTAAATGTTTCTTCTCCAGCATAATTGTTTTGTTCGATGCTTATGAAGTATTTACCAAATCCTTGTACTATGCAATATAATATCATACTTTGTGTGTGTGTGTGTGTGTGCCAGATGTGAGTGCTGATATGTCTATATGGATCACTTGTTATAATCCAGATGTTTTGTGCAATCTATTTGAATTTCTTTACTTTCATTTTCCATGCAAATTAAAAAAATGCCCCTATAGTTGCTGCAAAATATACAAATACTACTTGTAAATAAACAATATTGCTCCAAACAATATTTGTTGCCAGTTTCTTTATCTTATCCTTTTTCTCTTTCCTCTTCCTTTTCTCTTTATAGTAGTACAAGATTTTAAAGCAAAACAAAGGTAAATAAGAAGACAAGTTTCCATATTAGCATCTGAAATAGTGTGGGTGGATAAAAGAGGTGATATAAATGTTATGTTATAATATTTTTCCTATTGTGATAACATGTCAATGAAAATGATTACTGAAATTATTTCAACGGTTGTATTTATTCACATTAAGCTTAAAATGAGGTCCAGACATTTTTCCATTTTTTTTTTAAATAGAACACTGAACATTCCCCTAAAAACCAGCAAAACAAAGAAAATAGTTGTTTGCTTGACTTCATCAATCTTTGACAATGCAAAAATATCTTGGGGCCCACAAGACAATATTAGCTGCATTCACGTATGGTTAAAAATATACAACAATATTTCTACATATTCTTTCCATTTTTCAAAATAGAATATATCATTTGTTTTTCATTAAGGTTGGTGAAAGCTATACAGCAAAGATGTCTAGGTACCTTTGAAAATGTGAGGGTTAGCATTTCAGGAACAGATAAATTTTGCATGTGAAATGCTTGCAGTACTGCAGTCAATATCATTTTAACTATCTGTGTCAGTAATCCCCCCAGGATTATGCCTGCCAAACTAGGAGCATGCCAGAGACTCTTCTTAGGTCTGCAAGTTACAGAGACTTTGATTAGCATTGGATAATAAAAAGACAACCTTTTTTCACTTCGCCACCATTTGTATCATAATAAGAATATCACAGTTTACCTTCTGTATTTTCTTCATAGCATGTTCCCCAAAGAACAGTGGGAAAGAATCTGGTGGCAGCACGTGCCATTGTCAGAATGGAGGCACCTATGACCCTCTGATGCGGCAGTGCCAGTGTCCCCCAGTCATCCACGGGAAAACCTATGAAGACGGTAGGAATGTCTGCCATTGCTTTTGAGTCAACTCTAAGTCCTTGAGGTTTTTTGAGCGTTATAATGGGAAATAAACTAACTAAACATTATCTATAATTGTAAAGGTGTTTTTTACTGAAGAAATAAAAGGCTATGTTTATATAAATGCAAGTACAATTGTTTTGGCTGATGAAGTGTGTAGCAGAACAAAATAAGTGATACTTAAATTTCCAACTGCGACCTAAGCAGGATGCATCCTGATAGAAAGAAAATCTTTTCTTCAATTGAGCAAAAAGTTGAATCTACATATGAAGGTTTGGACATAGGTGCTGGAGAAAATGTATTTGCTTAATGTAGTAAAAGAAATAAAATCAGAGCTTATTAGGTAAACCAGGAATAAAGAGAGTTGAAAAGAGGCAAGAAGTAAAAGAAAGAAATAGGGAAGTGATGGGGGGAAAAAAACTCATAAAATACCAATGAGTGTGAGTGGATTTTTTATGCAACCAGTCAAGAGACCACATTTACTATAAGGGTTGATAAAGCTCAAAAAAAGAAATTGCTGCACAGGCCCAAGGACTGAAGGCAGAGAGGTACTGAATACATAGTCTTCAGGTGTTACAGGAATCATGCAGAGGGCCGGGCCTCCCCTGGTGGTGCAGCGGTTGAGCCCTGGGCTGCGAATCTGCCTGCAGCCTCTGCAGAGCCAGTTTGATCACTGGCCGGCTGGCGAGGGTCCCACATGGCGCGCAGATCTCTCCTGCCATGCCTGCTGCTCCCCTCAGCAGTGTATTTTGTCAGTCTGCCTGCTCTGCTCCCCGCTCTGGCTCTGGTGAATTCTCTCACCCTCCCGCGCTTCTGACTGTACCCAGTGCATGTATAAATAAAGAAATAAATCTTTAAAAAAAAAATCATGCAGAGTTATTGGATCTCATAGTGCATGGAACTGGGGAGATGGAAACTAAGTTTACTTCACTCTCTAAGAGACACGGGAAGGATCCTCCTGGAATCCCAGCTCTTTATTCCCCTAAATCATGTTATGTTACTCATTTATTCAAAAAAATGTTTATTAAATATTTGTAAACCACTGCCAGGCATCATGAAGGCAAATGAATGAATGAATGAATGAATGAATAAATAAATAAAGCAGCCTTAGTCCCTCAGTGTGTAACTTGTAGTCTTGTTCAGAGTGGACATAGGTTATAAATGTTTTAAGTTCTTACAAATGAAATATTAATGTATGTTTGGAGGTCAGACCATGGGCACTATGCAAAGTGTGTGAGCCAGGGAGTGACTTCTAGAGAAGTGACATTTAAGCAGAAGTCTGCAAAATGAGGAGAAAGAAGATGGGAAGAGTGAGGAACCACACATTGCCAGAAGCTAAAGGGTAGTCAGTGAAACAAAGTCAGTCAGGGAGTTATCAGTGCAATATGAGGCCGGCCAGTGCAGGGGCATATGGTCCTTGTTCAATTTGAAGTTTTCAAACTGAGAGCAATGGCAAATCATCGTAGAAATTTGGATAGAGAATATAAAATCATATTTGTGGCTTTTTTTTAAAGAGCTCTCTAACCTCCATACAACCAGACTGAAAATATCTTCTCCCAAATTCCTTATTTCATATAACAACTCTAGTAACTTCTGCATGTGCATTAATATTTTCTTTTCTTTGTGTCCATTACTCTCCAGGATGCCCAAAAGGATTCTTTGGGAAGAACTGCAGAAGGAAATGTAACTGTGCCAACAATGGTTCTTGTCACAGGGTCTATGGTGCCTGCATGTGTGAGCCAGGGCGCTACGGGAGATTTTGTCATCTGAGTAAGTCATGGGCACTAAATTCATTCTTTGTTGGGAGCTAGGAGGCTCAGAAAAGTACAGAGGAAGAGAGTAAGACAAATATAACATATTATATGGTCATATCATATATATTTGACAATAATGTTCTGGTCTTTATTTAACTTCCTTATATTATAGAATCTAGATTTTGATTGAGAGAAAAATATTTCTAATTTTTTTCCTAATTAATGTTTGCCTTATATATTAAGGCCAGATTTATAAACAGTTAAGTGAACATTTGACACTTTATGGGAGTTGAAGCTTTAGAATAAATCTTTTATGTCTTGGTCTTGAGCAATGCAATATCTTTCCCTAAATTTCTTTAAAAAATGTATTTATTTATATTTTGCATACAAGAACTGGGGTGCAGGGGGTGAGTAAATTCACCAGAGACAGAGCAGAGACAGTCTTTCCTTAAATTTCTAAAACAGAGTATTCATTTTGATCATCAATCACATTTGTAAAAGATGTGAGAAGACATAATCCTAATAATTATATCAGCCTGTCAGTAACTTAAGAGTCCTTCCAGTGGTTCAGCTCTGCATGTTCACCCTCCCATTTTGAAGCTGCATGTGAGCCCAATTGTTGCTGCCCTATTCCTCTGCCTATTCCTCCTGCCCTTTTCTGCAAACCCCTCATACATGAACCTTATTACCCCAGCCTACTTGCCCATAACAGAGAACTTTTAGAATCTTCAATATTTATTTAAATATCAGTGGTCTTACATTTCTTTTGAGAGGCATGCCCTTGAAAAACAGAGAACAAAGTATGAGGGCATCATAGAAAACTGAACTGGTGTGGTGAAGAAAGGGTAGGCTTGGATGAGAAGATAAGGAGGAGGGTATAGAGAAGATAAGGAGGAGGGTATAGGTAAAAGTGAAATCGGAGGTGCAAATGGTGTGTTCCTCCTAGAATATGCCAAGAAAAGACAGACCTAGAAATAAGGGTGACATGTTTTCTAGTATTGTTCCTCTAGGACAAGGCATGTACTTTTTTCAGTAATAACTTTTTAATATTTTATAATGTAATATCAGGTGTTTTGATAAAAATAATTTAAATCATAATTCATCTGGGAAAACTTAAAAGTACAGCTGCTGGTGGATGTGATGGTAGTTAGTATTGAGAATGTGACTATCTTTAGGAAAAACTTGCTCATTTCAGTTCTTTAGGACTCTTATTGCTTAGACATGAGATTTCCTTTTTTCACACCACATGGTTGACACTGAGAAGTTTGGGTTTGCAACCCTATATTAATTTTCTGGAGCTGTTGTGACAAAATGCCTTAAATAACAGAAATTTATTGTTTCACAGTTCTGGAAGCTAGAAATCTGGAATCAAGATGTTGATAGGAGCATGCTCCTTTGGAAAGAAAAAGGGAAGAATCAGTTGCAAGCTTACTGGTGGTTCCTTGGCTTGTGACAGAAGAACTCCAGTCTTCACACTTTCTGTGTGTCTCTGTGTCCCAAATTCTAATTATAAGGACATTTGTCATATCATATTAGTGGTCCTTATTCCATTATGACATCATCTTAACTAATTACATTGATAAAGACACAGTTTCCAAATAACATCACATTCTGAGTTAGTGGAATTGAGACTGTTGCTTCCATTTTGCCTTTTTTCCCCAAAGTTTATATCCATAGTTATGTGTTCTTAATATACTGAATAGTCACATTTAAGAATTCCATTGTTTCTAATTTATACCCTGAACCACTATTTTATGTGTTGAACCAGGAAGAGTAGGTCATGGAATGAGAGAGAAGAGGCCTATATTAAGTAACATAATATACCTCTGGATACTCTCAGGTTTGTTGGGTCTGGGAAAAAAACACAATATTGGAAGTCACAGGAAGGATGAGAAAGGGAACATACAATTTATCTTTCAAATGGGGTGATATTAACAGTGAAAAGAAGCTCTGCTAATAATTTCTTTCCTGCTTTGGTGGTAACTCAGCTGTCTCTGGGAACTGAGACTAGGATCACACTGCATGGTGGCATTATACCACCACTTTATTATCTCTGCTAATAATAGCAGATATTAGCAGCTGCTAGTAATTTGCAGCCACCATCAAGTCAAGTGGCTTATTATATTCTCACCAAGGAGCTATCCTCAGTAAATCCCATACAGACATATAAAACAGTTAACTTCAACCTGGAAGGCACTTGAGGAATCTTATTTGATAAGTCCCTAGAACATCTATTGATGAAGGAAAAAAATTGTCAGCTATATTTGGGAAAGGTAATTGAATTACTGTAAGTAAATCTTCAAAGAAAAAGTGATGGGTATGTTTTCCTGAATGCAAATCTGGAACTTTTTCAAGTTAAAATTCCTGAACTGACTACCATCCCCAAAACTCAACAACATGGGGAAAATAATGAAGGAGGGCCTCCCCGGTGGCGCAGCGGTTGAGCGCTGGGTTGCGAAGCTGCCCGCGGCCTCTGCGGCGCCGGTTCGATCCCCGGCTGCTCCCCGGCCACTGGAGGAGGGTCCCACATGGTGCGCAGACCTCTCCTGCCGCCCGCTGCTCCCCTCAGCAGTGTACTTCGGTCCTTCTGCCTGCTCTGCTCCCCGCTCTGGCTCTGGTGAATTCTCTCACCCTCCCGCGCTTCTGACTGTACCCAGTGCATGTATAAACAAACAAACAAACAAATAAATAAATAAACATGCCTCTAAAAAAAAAAAAAAAAAAAAGACTCTTAAAAAAAAAAAAAAAAAGAAAATAATGAAGGAAACACAACACCATTTGCCAAAGATGTGGCCAAGATAATGCTGTTGACATGATTGAGAGCCTCGTGTTATCTACACAATATAAAATTATTTCTGATTACCATATAATGAAAGGGAGTGAAAACAAAGGCAAGTCTCCACATTAATGCTTGTCCATCATCTCTGTGCTGCGGCAGGATGAATATGGGCTCTGGCAGACCTCAGCAGTCCTTGGAGAATATTAACTATAGGCACCAATGGAGCACATTGGGAAGCAATTTCTCTCCCAGAAACACCAAAGCCTTTTACATAGTTCAGGCTTCACTGTTCACATCCAGTTGCCAAAAAGCAAATGGATTGCCTGATTTGAAAAACATTTGTTTTCCCAATTTTTTTCTTTTTTGGCATCAGGTTGATCCCCTTGTTTTCTCTATAATCAGGCCCTGCAGAACTACATGCCTGTGCACCTACAATGTAAAAGAAAACAAAGCATAGCTTTCAGGTGACTATTTTGCCTCAATCTGCTTGCAGACTGTCCCAAGGGGTCCTATGGTGCTGGCTGCTCTGCAGAATGTCAGTGTGTGGAGGAGAACACCCTGGAATGCAGCACCAAAAATGGCAGTTGCACCTGCAAATCTGGTTACCAAGGCAACAGATGCCAGAAAGGTACAATCTGATGATAAATTTGCTTTCTTCTCTAATAGCAACACTCAGGCTTTGTTCAGCACCACATGATCATTAATTAGTTAATCCACCAGTGTCCTCAGGAGATGGGTAAGCTTTATTAATCCCTTATTTGCAGGTGAGAAAACTGAGATACAGGGTAATAAAGTTATTTAACCTTGTCTTCTCAGCCTCTGCTATTAGCTGTCCCCTTGCTAGTTTGAGCAAGGGGAGAAAGATCACATTGCAGAGAATCTTATCCAGAGAAGATTAAAGCTGGCCAGTCACTTCTTTGAGCTGAACTAATCAACCAAGGGCACTGCTAGCTCCCGGAGTTAAAGAATAATTTTCTTTATATCTAAAAATAGATCACTCAAACAAAGACAATTCAAAGATTCTAACCATAGGAATTTTGGGAAAAATTAAAAATGGGTATCAGTAAGACCCTTTTTCACATTTCTAAGCCTTTCATAATTGATTTGCATGTATCTATAAATATAAAAATTAATATATAGCATATAAATATGTGTGTGTGTAGGTGCATATAGAATTTGGCAAGAGATATACCAAAGCTTAGTTATGACCGTCTGTAGGTTTTTTGAAAATTTTCACATCGCCTTTCACTGAATCTTGTCAGTACTGTGCTACATAAAATTGCAACTTGCAAGTGACCTTGAACATATTTCCTCCAAAAGTTCTTATGATCTTCTAATACATACTATGTATTCTAATTATTATCATGTCTAATATTTATTGTCTGTGTTCCCTGCTAGAATCTAAAGTCCATGGAGGAAAAACATTCATTTTGTTCACAGAAGTATCCCCAAATTCCTTTAACAGTGCTGACACATAGGAGCTGCTCAATAACATTTTATTGTGCTATTTAAGTGTGCATGGTTCAATTTTTATCCTACTTATTTTTCTCATTTATCAGATATTCTGAATAAAGAACATGTTGCTATTTTATTCAAGGGAAAGTATCACATTATCATTTCCTCCTTAATATGTAAAACTGAGCATGCAATAAGCAAAATTATCATAATCAATGACAAGTGCATTTATTGTGTTGCGAGTGATCTAAAAAGGTCAGGAGAGAACAGATTTGAGAGGAAACTGTCACATGCTGACTGTTTAGTCCTCTGATAGTGCTAGGCACTGGGATCAAAGGTTGTCTCTGACCCTTATGTGTTACACATCACTCTTCACACATTGTCCTCAGAGGGTCTGCAGAGCTACTCTTTCAGGTCTCCGTGAGGCTGTGGGACACCCACAGTGTGTGAGCAGAAATGCCCATCTAGATTTCTTGGACAGAGAGCTATTTAGGTAGCTGAACTGTGACTTTTTAGGCAAAGAAGGAAAAGCCTAGAGTTTTACAAATGCATGTGATAGGATATAAGAGTGGGCCCATCCATGCCCAGTGATAAGCCTCCTCTCTGTTTCGACTAACTTGTAAGCTTAGAGGCTACCCCTTTTCATCCCCACCAGAGAGGTCATATCCTGGGAGTCAACGCATGAGGAGACAAAACTATACACACACACCTGGATATATTTAATTTATTCTGATGACTTTTTTTTTACAGCAGTCACTGAATATACTATATTGGAAAATGCTCTGAGATCCCCACTGTGAAGGAAAATGAGTTGAAAGTATATGTAAATCAGCAAAATAGAGAGGTCACCGTAATCTCTGGAAAACATATTATTTTTCAATCAGATAACTTTGTCCAATTCTGATACTTTTGTCTATCCACAAAATGAAATTATGAATCAGACTGGAGTGGGTGAATGGGAATGCTATGATTGGCAGCTGAAATCAAGGCAGAAGAGCTCTCCAAGAGTTGTGCATGATGAAAATCAGGCCTGTTGTTTGTCTTTCTTTTTTAAAAAGTGAAGTATCCCAAGTGCTCCTAGAGTCAGACTTATCTTTAGAAATCTTTACTCTATACCTGTGTCTAGATTGCAGATGAATAGTTAATTAAAGAGTGCAAATTGTTTCAATGGCTCTAATGAACACTGCTCTCCACAATCAGCACCAGGCCTTATTTAGCCCATCAGCAATGACTTCTAAGAGTAGAAGAGCTGGCTTCTACAACCAATCTGTGAAATAGCAAAAAAGAGGGGGAGGGCAGTCTGTGAGTTTCCTTGTATTGATCAGTTTGCAGTCTGGAGCATTTTAGATTACAGTTGTAGGCAGACCTTTGCCTGCGAGGACTCTGGCCCATGGGCCCCTTAAGTCCATATAACGAGGCCTATTCAGCCATTGTGTTAAATAAGAGGGACAGATTTTTGCTATAATAGTTTCACGTTGGAGAATTTAAAATTTTGAAATCTGCTAGGTCCCCAAAATCAGGTTAATTGGCTTGAAAGATGCTCAGTATTTAGTATTGGAGCGCACGGTGGATATAGTGGCTGAAAGCACCAGTTTCAGAGATCAGAAGGTCTGGCTGAAACCCAGACTACTACTTAGTAGCTGTTGGAACCAGCATAAGTGACAACCCCTCAGAGTCTCAGTATCACATGTAAATGGACATAGAGTTGCTTATGGCATGCAGTGATATTCATGTAGATGTGAGATCATTTATATAAAATGCATGGCACAGAGCAAGCCATCAACAGATAACTGCCAGGAAAGGTATGAACATCCCAGAAAATGTCATCATCTGTATTTCAGAGATTCCACCTAAAACAAGAGGTTACTTCACAGCCCAACTGGTTGGATGTAAATTTCCACAGTTGTTATGTGTGGGAAGCTTTCACTGCTTTGCCTGTGTTAAAAGAATGCTTTCCATCAGGTTTCTAATTCTAGAGCTTTTAGTGGGAAGACATGCAATAAAACTCTACCCGACCCTCCACGGCCTGGCAGAGTGGTCCCTCCTTCTGTAGTTCCGATGACTTTCTGCAAGATGACAAATTTTCCTCTTTCCACATCTTACGCAGTATACACACTAACAAAATATACAAACCATAAAACTCGCGGTGATTACTATGTCTCAAAAAAGAAGCAAATGCCAGGAGTACAAGATTCAGGCAAACATTTGGGGACAACTTCCTTAACACTGCACCTCAGAAACTTCCTTTCAAATTACATCTCATTTTCAGGTTTTGTTCTGTGCAACTGCCTCCAAAGATATACATCAAAATTGCTTCCATTGTTACTGTTTGAAAAAACACATTTTCAGCAAAAATCCACTTCTGTATCTGTGTTTCAAAGTGACAAGATACAGCATCATGTTGATTTCTTCAGGGAATATATTTGGAAGTGCTATAAATCTTCAGAGGCTACTTGAATGTTTCTTTCTTTGCAGCTCAGTCACACACATATGTACATACATACACACACACATGCATGCACACACACTTTTTCGGCTCATTTAGAAACAGCAGAAATATGGGATCATCTTGAGATTTACTGCAAGCCTTAGCTCCTTTCTTTTTTCTCTTTTTGTTTTACATAGCCTGCCCTGATGGTCTCTGGGGATCAGAATGCCAGTTGCCCTGTGTATCCTGTGAGAATGGAGGTCAATGTAACAAAAAATCTGGAAACTGTGACTGTCCTCCTGGTTACACAGGACCAGCTTGCACCATGGGTAAGTTGTTAACAGATACAGGAGAACAACAAAGTCAACATAGTTTCATATGCCCCTTCTCCCCACAAAAAAAAAAAAAAGCTTTTATATGCTATTATGTCAATTACATGTAGTATAACAAATAACCCCCAATGTTTTGCTGCTTAACATAATGACATGATTTTTTTGATCCTGTGGATTGATGAGATTCTTCTTCTGCTAGTCTCACCTGGACTTACTTGCACGGCTACTTCTAGCTGGCAAGGTTAGTTGGGAACTGTGCTGGACTGGATGTTTCAACCAGAAAATTTTACTTTTCCTGTCCACAGAATTTCTGCATTAGTTTGAGCTTCCTCATAGCATGGCAGTCTCAAGACAACAATCCATGAAGGAGCATGAGAAGTATGAATGCAGAAGTTGTAACATGTCAAAAAATGTAGCTTTAGAAACCACACAGTGCCACCTTTGCAAATTCTCCTAAGTGAAGGAAGTCAGAAGGCCATCAGATTTAAGGGTAGGAGAAGATTGTACTTCCTGATAAGAACAGTAGCAAAATTCAGTGCAGAAGACCTGCAAACTGGGAGATATGTCTGCAGCCATCTTTAGAACCTATCTACCATAAAATAGTATTTCAAGACTGAAAGGCACTTTGAAAATTTACTAAACTTTATTTATTGTTCTCATCAAAGTAAAGGAAGATAGAGACTGATAAAAAGTAAATACTGAACTGAATCTAGCCTCAGGATAAAAAAAAAAAAAAATCAGGAGAGCTGCTACTCTGCTATCTGCTTTCTGTTGGGTGATCCTCTCACAACTTCCATTAACCTGCCTAGAATACCTTCCCTTCTCCACCCACCTTGGAACTGAGTAATATGAGAACTTGAGGAAAATTGGGCTGAAAGGTAAAGGAGTTTTTACATAAACATTTCAAATGTGTCTAATAAAGTTTAGCGAAAAGTCTGTGTTAGTGACTCTATGAGGTGTCACATGTCAACTGGATTAACTTTCAGCATGTTGGACTTTCTATAAATTGACAAAGAAAGAAAACCAGTATCTTAACTATAAATATAAAATATACAGCCAGGATGGTATTATCACTTAAGGAATCAGCTGATCATGTAGAGGAAATTTAACTACTTACCCTCAGGATAACCCTCAAGCAAGACAGATAAGGCAAGATCTTTACCTGGTGACTTTTTCTGCATATAACTAGATAATTTTTACTTTAAGGCTGTCATCCTGGCACTGTCAATAAGCATTTCAAAGTATGAAAGTTGGCTCCAACAGCAATTGACTATCCTTAACATTGTTTGCTTAAAAAAAAAAAAAAAAAAAAAAACTAAAGGTAAGAATTTACATATTCAAAAGGTAGTCACTTGCTATTTCCATAATGAAATGACATTTTCTCTTGTCTAATTCAACTTTAATGGAATAATCATTAAGAAGATAGAGGTAAAGTTTGTACTGTTCCAATTGTCCAGTGATACACACTTTCTAAAAACAAGAGAAGGAGGGCCTCCCCGGTGGCACAGCTGTTGAGCGCTGGGCTGCTAAGCTGCCCGCAGCCTCTGCAGCGCTGGTTGGGCGGCAGGCGAGGGCCCCACAAGGCCCGCAGACCTCTCCTGCTGCCTGCTGCTCCCCTCAGCAGTGTACTTCATCAGTCTGCCTGTTCTGCTCCCTGCTCTGGCTCTGGTGTAGTCTCTCCAGAGAGAGACTACTGCGCTTTTGACTGTACCCAGTGCTTGTATAAATAAATAAATAAATCTTTAAAAAAAAAAGAGAGAGAGAGAGAAAGATAAACTTTTCATTGTTTAAAATAGTATCTCCATAGTTCTGTTACAACTCTCTTTCACCCTAGATCTTAAACTCCAGGAGATTTATCACCATATATTCTTGAGATATTTTTTTGTGGCAAGTAGTAGTATTGGAATTTTATTGGCAACCTGATATGTGAGATAATTTGTTGAATTGAATAGGCAAAATTATTCAGTGACTCCTAGTTCCATTTAATTTTAACATTATGTGCTATTGATATTATCTGATTTTATACAAGGAGACACAAACACAAATTAATTATATAATCACCATAATGAAATGTTTAGGAAAATGAATGGAACCAAAGGATATGGCTCATTAAAAATGCTTACTGCAGGGGCCTCCTTGGTGCAAGGGGTTAAGTCTCAGCATTATGAAGCTACCAGCAGCCACTGCAGCACGAGTTCGATCCTTGGCCAGGATGTTAACCCACATGGCACAGCAAACGTCTCCTGTCTTGCCCTCTGCTCCCACAGCAGTGAATTTCAGTAGATCCGCCTGTTCTGCTCCCTACTCTGTCTCTGGTGAAGCCTCTCACCACCACCACCACCCCTGCACCTCTGGCCTACACCCCAGTTCTTGTGTGCATAAATAAACAAATCTTTTAAAAAAAATGCTTTATGCCTACTCTACAAAAGAATGCATGTGGCATTTAAAAGAATGCACACATTTCTCTAAAGGTCCTGTTATGAATTTTAAAATCTACTCTGTATAATGAACTGTAAAAACAGTTATAGGGTCTACAAGGTAATATGTTTTAGAGGCAGGAGAGAACAAAAAGCTTTTTCTATAGATTTTGGCTTTATAGAATTTCCAATTTGGGGAAGTTACAAATATTTAGGGGAAATATTTTTATTGGTTTTATTTCACTGTGTGTCAGAATCCCAGAATCTACCCTAACCCACATCTAAAGACTGTGGAGGGAAGTTCTGTGGCTTCGTGGGCATGCTCATAACTTTAATAAGAATGTGCCACCTCTGTGAAAGTTTTAGCCTTACTACCAAATAATCTAAGAAGTAATCCATTTTTTGTTTATCCCTAAACTATTTATAATTATATAAATACAGAAGGGAAACAACTTAAATATCCACCAAAAAGAGCATAGTTTAAAAAAATTACAATGCATCATGGGCTATTCTAAGTCATTAATTCATGATTTGAAAAAATGTGCTATGTGGGCCCCACCCTGGTGGCGCAGGCAGTTGAGCGCAGCGCTGTGAAGCTGTCCGCAGCCCCTGCAGCTCAGGTTTGATCCCAGCTGGGGGTGGGGAGGTGGGGGGGGGCAAGGGTCCCACATGGCGCAGTGGACCTCTCCTGTCTCGCCCACTGCTCCCCTCAGCAGTGTATTTCGTCAGTCTGCCTGCTCTGTTCCCTGCTCTATCTTTGGTGAATCCTTTCACCCTCCTGTGCATCTGGCCTATACCCCAGTTCTTGTGTGCATAAATAAATAAATCTTTTAAAAAATGTGCACTGTAAGGACAATTAACATTAAATTGATGCTAAATTATGTTAATAAAGAATGATCCAAAGTTGTAGGAATATATATTCATGTATGTACATGCAAAATGGAAAAATATAGTAGAAAGGACAAACTTGTTAACAATGATCATTTTTAGATGGTGGAAGTATGGGTGATCTTTTTTTCTTTTATAGATTTCTTGTTTCCATATTTACTATTTGCCCCCTCGACAATCAGGGAGAAAAATACATCATCTTCAGATCAATTATTGACTAAATAGCTAAGTATGATAGCTGTCTGCTCTTAAGTATTATCTGATAACTTTAACTGTTCCCATAATAATCAAGATGGATTTCTTTCATTCAAATTGAACTTGTTCTTTTGATTAAAGACTGTTTTGTTCTGCTGCACATGAGGTAGTTATTTTGTAATATCACTAAAATACTCTTCTTTTTTTATTTTTAAAGATCATTTTATTGATTTCTTTTTACATTGCAACTAATTGTTGGGATCCTGAAGATACAACTTAGGACCAAATCCTGGAATTATGTGCTGTAGGTGCCTTAGTCTCACACAGTGCTAGAGATATTGAAGGCTTACTTACCTTTCAGTTAATTCTATAAACTTCTTATAAAACCAAGGTATGTTTGTTAGGAATATATTATGAAATATGTTTGTGAGTGTATGTGGGGAGAAGTGCTTTTTAATTGCTGGGAGAAGTATAAATTTTCAGTATCTATAAAAATGATACTTGCACATATCCTATGAATCAGTAATTCATTTGAGGGTTATTCCTAAAGATACATTTGCTTATATGTGAAATATTCTTTTAAAAAGGACTAAAAGAAGGGCCTCCCTTGGTGGCGCAGGCAGTTGAACGCAGCGCTGTGAAGCTGTCCACAGCCTCTGCAGCGCCAGTTCGATCACGGCCGGTCCGCGAGGGTCCCATATGGCGTGGCAGACCTAACCTGTCTCACCCGCTGCTCCCCTCAGTAGTGTATTTCATCAGTCTGCCTGTTCTGTTCCCCGCTGTCTCTGGTGAATCCTCTCACCCTCCCATGCATCTGGCCTATATCCTGGTTCTTGTATAAATAAATAAATAAATCATTAAAAAAAAAGGACTAAAAGAACATGTTAAAGAGAAATATTCATTCCTCTTTCTTCAGAAATCCTACTTTCTATCCCATACTCCTTTTGTTATCATTCCTCTGAATTTTTCCATATTTTCCATGAAGATTTCTGAAACTGTGCTTTTCACTAGGAAAGGAGAGAAATTAAAGAGAATGGGTAAAAGATGTTAGAAGAAAGGTAATGATTCAGATACACCTTATGCTTTAAATATCATAGGATCAAACATCATGAAAACCCTGGTTTATAGCTTTTACTGATTTGCATGGTGAAGCAACCAATGTGATAGCAACTGACTTGGAGAATTCCTGAAAATTTAAGTTTCATCTGTTGGTAGCAACAACTGCATTATAGCACTGACTGGCAAATATTGTATTCTGAACACACCGAATGGTTTCTTAACCTTTACTTTCTCTCCTGATACTATGTCTTTTCAGGTCTCGATGTTGATAACTAGCTTGACCTTTTGGGGTAAATTAAATGAACTAACTATAATGCCAACCAACTAAAACTTTACTATTTAGTTATTTTATTTTTAAAACAAAAATCAATTATTTAGCTGAAATGAATCAAGACTATGTGCAGACAGAACCTCCTCACTCTTTTTCTCTAGAATTCA